ACGGCCATTACGATCTTTAATGCTGGGTTGATGAACTTCAAATCTGTGGTACGCTCGTACCTTGAAAAATGAAAAAAAACGTCAAGTTCTGCCTCATTTTATATAAAGGTTACACTGCGACCTTGAGTTCACAAAGGGTCCTGAGGGGGGGGGGTACAAATAATAGCATACGTTTTTTATAAACCACCAAAAATTTGCTTAAATTAAGCAACTACCTTATTTTATTGCAAGTTCCTTTTCCTGAAATGAGATTTGCTCTATTGAAGCAGTGAAATTATTCATATAAAATCGCGTTACTTTATTCTCCATAGAATGTAGTTTTATTTGTTGAAATCATCATAGCTTTGCTAACATAAGGTACTAATATCAAATGCAATAGTTGAAATCACCAAATATTGTAATGTAAGGCAGTGAAAGTATATTGTTATTAGTCTTGCCTCGAGACTTGACCTGGGTCTCTATCTAAACAACAAGTAGTCAGAGTAGATAGTCCAGAGTCTTGAAGCAAGACTATGTTGTTATATAATGTAGTTTCATTTGAGGAAAATCCAAAAGTTTGCTTACATTCCCTTTGCCCAATCCTCCGATTCGTCATTCCACTCATATGCTGTAAGCTGGTTGCCAGTCATCGTCGCAAAGGAGTACATGATATGGGTACAAAGGAAAGGGTCGATGTCCTCTGGGTAGAATTTAGCAGGATCCTGTCGATATTGGGACCAATTTGTGTGATAACATACTCGCAGGAATGAGCCATCCGTGTCTGTTTGAACATTTGAAAACATTAGAAAAGGAGAATATTAGCCATATCGCATTCTGATACTCATAGCATCTCTCTCTGTTGCATCGCAGATGTGGAGAGGGCGTGGCTTACCACGATGGCCATAGCAAAGTAATTACAGACAGAGACGGAATGGATTAAGTGTAGTCAAGCTACTGCTTGAACTTTCATTTATTTTTTGAATTCTGTTACTTACATTGTGCCAAAGTGTACCCAAACAGGGACAGCAAGAGAGTAAGTGCCAATTTCATCTCGACCTTAAATGGGAAATTGAACGGTCAGCTTGCTAAAAAAAGAATATGATTGGTAATAATGCAATAAATGAAGTAACACTTAATTCAATTACTCAGATGCGAGTAGGTAGTTACCAGTTTCGCCACCAGGTGGCTGATTCAGGGGAAATAACATGGCTGGGTATTACATTCCCTTAAACTTGAATATTCATCAGTTTTAGTGGTTCACTTTTCATATTACCCGTATGTATGTGATAGTTATACAAATTAGAACATGCCCAGTAAAAGAAAATATTATCTGCCCAACACAAGAAAAGATATTGCACTTTTTGTGGTTTTACAACATGGGGTCTATGGGGAATCTCCCCGACTTAGAAGTCACATTTTCAAAGAAAATTAAATTTTCAAAGTTGATAAACTCTTTTCAAAACCACATTTCTAGATGTAATTTTACAAGTAGATTCCAAATATGACATCAGATTGACTGAAATGTGAATTTTTAATGACGTAAATCAAGATTATTTCTACTCGCATCTAGGATATTCTGATTGTATTTGAGCCACGGATTGTCCTCAGATGAGCGATGATAGCTCCATTATCCACTTCGTTATGAATTCGGGGGAAATTCTCTTAAATTCAAAGACGACCCTATATCCATGTTAAGATGAACTTTTTTTATTGGTCTATGACGGACATACATCGTGCATACTGTATAATCGTCGCTGATTGGTCAAATGTCAGTGATTGATCAATAGCAATTATATAACGAAAACAAAATTGCAGATTCAAAATCAAAAAATGCTTCGAATTATATATGTTCATTTGGCAATTTTTGTTGAACTTAAAGATAAAGAAACCTGTATGGCATATGATTACATGTATATCGTTCAAAACGAAAACATTTCCGAGATGTACCAGAAATGTTGAAATACAAACATCGTCAAGACTTTCAATTTAACTTTATATTTCACCACGTATTATCTAATTATTTCAGCAATATTTGTTCTTACCGTTAATGACCCAAATGTATAATGTAAACGGCTGTTTACGACTTTCTTTTATATATCTACAAATATTGAATGTGACACCTACTAATTTATATCCTTATGTTGATAAACAGGGCGTGCAACACGAAATATATTTAGGACCTTTTTGATAAAGTGTTAGCTTTTATATAGGTCGTTACTATTTTTGATTAAAATAATCAGGGTCACGCCTGTATCATCTCCATATATCAGATGCCACTCTCTTATCTTTTGATCATGATCATACTTTGGACGTTTTTGTCACAACCAGTACTGCACGTACATGAACTAAGGATCTGATCTTATTTTTATGAGTTTTTGCCACAATGGATTTTAATTGCATTCTGTATTGAATTCAGGGTATTGTATCCCCAAAACTGTGTCCAGGCAGATGATAGCACAGAGTTAATGTTTCACAACAGCAATTATTCAAGTACTGTCAAATCTAAAAAAAATCTAAAAAGTTCTAAAATGCAAGCCCAATGTACTGTCCAAGAATCCTTATTCTTACTATTGAAAGGGATTCTAGCAATACTATCCATCCAATATGAATTTACTTGTTGAAACTCGTTCAACTCGAGAAAATGAGGATATTAGCAAAGGTACGTCGCCTTAACATGGCGATATACACTGTTGAATAATGACTTATACTGCTCAGAGACTGTAACTGGCAACCCAGTTTACTTTCCATATTGTTAAGACCATGCTGACGGGTGGGGGATGGGGGTGGGGAGTGCGAGGCTGGAGATACATAATTTACACAACACTGCTTGTCATGTTCATCTTCTCTGTGCGGATAATATGCCCATTAGGGTGTCATCCGCCTTATTTGTATGTTTCACCAGATGTTTGAAAATAAATAAATGAAATGAAATGACTTAGCATCGGAATACCACCATGTATGCCACCATGTTCGGTAGTATGCACCCGTGCTAAAATCCTCATTTTCTCAGAAGGACTCAAGTTGAACGAGTCTTACAAGTAGATTCATGTGGGATAGTATTGCTAGAATCCATTTTCAACAATAGGAATATGGACTTTTAAACAGGACAACTTAACCTAAGCTTAACTGAGGTCTTTTTGAAATTGTTGGCTCGTACTAATACACCAATATATCCAACACCACAAAACGCGAATTCAGTTTCAACCTTTATTGAAACAAAACTTTAGGTTCCACGTTTTCTGGAGGGTGTTTGGCCTCGGTGGTTGGTGTTCGATATGTGTTCGGCATTCGACGATCGGCCAATATTTCATCTAACATATATCAGAAGATACTATAAAAGAAGTGTGTCTACTCTAGCAGTCGTGTTTATTTTGCCATGTAGTTGGTGTTTGTGAATAAGTGATATATATGCGGGTCTTTTAGGACGAAAGATGGCCGTATTTTTATGAGCCAAATGGGACTGAATCAAAATGTCGCACAATAAAAGTATTGAAATGTCTTCCAATTAAAATGGCCATCAA